ATATATATATATATATATATATATAGATATATATATATAGATATAGATATATATGACATCAGATCATGAAAACACAAATCTTTCTACTAAATGTAGAAAGTTGTTTGAGGTCCTTTTGTTGTTCAGTCTACAGTGAACATTTATTTAAACCAGATGTTGAATCATAAACTAATCAAATATAAAGCTTGAGTTTAATCTGTGATCGTCTTCACTGTTTACATGTTGAAAAAAATCTCATCAATCTGATCGGCTGCAGCGTCCAATCACATGACAGATGAACAATGAGGGGGCGTGTCGGCCGTTAAAACACTTCCTGGAAGTCTGTTCTCGTGGGTCCTCCCTCATGGCTCCTCAGAGATCCCTCCTCCCTCCTCCATCCTCGCTCCTCAGAGCAGAAATAAGAGCTTTGGGACGGCCGTCAATATGGCGGCGCAGAACAACTTCCGGTTCGAGCGAGGAAATGATCCTCGCTTGAACCGGAAGTTGTTGAGTCCGTGTGGGTTTCGTTCTGTCCCACCGTCAAATCTCTGAGTGTTTAAGGGTTCTCTCGAACGGGTTTGAGGAAGTGGGAACGTGGCTGGAGGGAGAGGCAGAATGTGACATTTATAAAGACTTCAAATAGAGAAGAGAAGACACTGAGAGCAATTCATCGTGAGTGGGACCCGAAGGCGATTGCCAAATTTCATGGCAATCCCTCCGATAAGTGTTGAGATATTTCAGTCTGGATCAAAGTGACCAAGAGACAGACATGTCCATCACTAGAGCCATGCTGCTAGACTTTGTTTTTAAAATTATGATCGTTTCATTTAGAGAGAAGTCGATATATATAGACATAAACAGTACATGGACGGACACAAAAGTATAAACCAGAGGCTCTGATTGGTCTATTTGGTGTCTCTGGTGTCTCCAGTGAGTCAGGCTTTGGTGTTTTGAGCCATTGACTTTACAGCTAACCTTGAGAGAGAGATCCTTTATTGAAATGACGACTGCTGGCTAGAGGAAGAACTATTCATGAAATAGCAGCACTAATGCATTCAGGAATGACTTGCTGAAATGTCGCCAGTGCAGACTGCTAGTAAACTCTGTATGCAACAGCCATTATGAATCATTTTCAAGCACCGTGCCAAGGCTGGCCTGAGAATGACTCCGCCAGGGAGAGAGCGAGACAGGTGCAAGGCCACTGGTGGCTGCATCCTTCCCGTATATAAGAGAGGGTCAGAGGGGGAGGGTCAGCTGTACTGCTCCAGGAAACCTTGGATCTGGTGAGTAGCACTGGACAGGATATGGTCAAAAGGGGGGAAATGGTTGCTGGGATGGATCTGGTGGTAATGATTTCCAATATTTTTCATTTTCCCTTTCGCTTTCATGATGTTAGTTTGTCAAAGTTGTAAACAGCCTGTGGACAAGTTTTAATTTCTGTCTTTTTCTCTTCAGAACTTGTAGAGTGAGAGCAGAGTGGTGTTGTTTGATCTATGTAGTGTCTGTATGAACTCCCCAATGAGAAACAAAAAACATTCATCTTGATAAGAAAGTTCTTGAAGTGCAAATGTTGTGAAATTGGAGCGAACGAGAAAAAAGAGGAATGATGAAAGAAGCGTGGAAACACAGCAACGCTCTCCAGCTGCTTTCACATCCCGCTTCATCCCGCTTCATCCTGCTTCATCCCTCTTCATCCCGCTTCATTCCGCTTCATTCCGCTTCATCCCGCTTCATTCTGCTTCATCCTGCTTCATTCTGCTTCATTCCGCTTCATCCCGCTTCATTCCGCTTCATCCCGCTTCATCCCGCTTCATTCTGCTTCATCCCGCTTCATCCCGCTTCATTCTGCTTCATCCTGCTTCATCCCGCTTCATTCCGCTTCATTCCGCTTCATCCCGCTTCATTCCGCTTCATTCTGCTTCATCCCGCTTCATTCTGCTTCATTCTGCTTCATTCCGCTTCATTCCGCTTCATTCTGCTTCATCCCGCTTCATTCCGCTTCATTCTGCTTCATCCTGCTTCATTCTGCTTCATTCTGCTTCATCCCGCTTCATTCCGCTTCATTCTGCTTCATTCCGCTTCATTCCGCTTCATTCCGCTTCATCCCGCTTCATTCCGCTTCATTCCGCTTCATCCTGCTTCATCCCGCTTCATTCCGCTTCATCCCGCTTCATCCCGCTTCATTCTGCTTCATCCCGCTTCATCCCGCTTCATTCCGCTTCATCCTGCTTCATCCTGCTTCATCCTGCTTCATCCCGCTTCATTCCGCTTCATTCTGCTTCATCCCGCTTCATCCCGCTTCATTCTGCTTCATCCCGCTTCATTCCGCTTCATTCTGCTTCATTCCGCTTCATTCCGCTTCATACTGCTTCATCCCGCTTCATCCCGCTTCATTCTGCTTCATCCCGCTTCATCCCGCTTCATCCTGCTTCATCTTGTTTCATTCTGTTTCATCCTGCTTCATCCTGCTTCATTCTGCTTCATCTTGTTTCATCCTGTTTCATCCTGCTTCATCTTGTTTCATTCTGCTTCATTCTGTTTCATTCTGCTTCATTCTGCTTCATTCTGCTTCATTCTGCTTCATCTTGCTTAATCCTGCTTCATTCTCCACGCTGTTTGCACAACTAATCCACTACAGCCCTAACCTGCAGTCCCTCGAGATTATCCCCCATTACTGTCCGACACTCGCATACCGATGAATGACGTGTCCTCTGACATTATCACTGACAGACGTTATTAAGATGGGGACCCAAAATATCCACGACCTCCCCCTGCATGAATAACCCAGCTCTGGCTGATCACTTAACCAGGTAAATGAGGTCGTATTGATTTAGAGCAGGGCAACGTTTGATTCAGCCTCTGAGTCTGCCAGGAAATTAAAGAAAAGAACAACAGATGCTTGTTAGAGATTCAGTGATGAAGTAAATCACCAGCAAACAACTTCCAGTCAGTCACCGCAGTGTGATCAAGCCAGAGTGGAAAAACTGAAGTGGAAAGATACTCCATAACAAACCACAGGGAAAGAAAAATAAGTACTTACATTGAAGAACAGTAGGGTTTATTTATGCCTGGTTTTAAATTATTTAAGATCAGCTAAAAAAAACGAAGGAGAAAGGAGTCGAGTAAAGTCAGTTTTATTCATGCAGCCCAAAATTTACAAATTTGTCTTAGAGGCTTCCTCTACTCCAACCTTTGACCCTCATTCAGATAAAGGAAAATACATAATACATAAACAAAGGAAAGAAAAAGGGACTGAAGTTAAAGTTAAACAAGACGGCTGCTGGCTTTAGCTTCATATTTAACGACAGTGGCATCAGTTTTCTCTTCTGACTCTCCACCTCTGGTTCTGAAATGTGTTAGAGCTGCATTCTCTCTAGTGTCCACCAGGGGGCGACTCCTCTGGTTGTATAGAAGTCTATGAGAAAATGACTCTACTACTCTCTTGATTTATTACCTCAGTAAACATTGTAAACATGAGTTTATGGTCTCAATCTCTAGTTTCAAGTCTTCTTCAATACAGCATGATGTTCATTTAGTACATTATGGTCCATTTAGAGTCAAACAGACCATAAAGCAGGGGATGCTTTAGGGCGGGGCTACACGGTGATTGACAGGTCTCTATCACAGTGTGTTTTTTTTATCAAAGTTAATTATGACAATTTAGTCGCCTAAAAATGTCTTATTCAGCATTCAGTTGTACTTAGCTCCGCCCTCTGTCACTTCTGGTTCCAAACTATTTTTTTAAAATGTTTATGTTACCTTTGGGATGTAAAATCTTATTATCTAAAGCAACCAACATAATAGAGTAAAACCAGACATTTAGTGTCAGAGAAATCCCTATCAGTCATTAACAAATGAAGTAAATGTACTGTTTTTGTTCAGTCGGCCTTTGATTTAACTGTTGAACTGTTTGCTCTTCTCCTGATCTGCAGCTCAGGACACACCTGAACAACATGGACGACGACGTTCGGCCGCAGGTGAAGAAGGTGGCTGTGGCCATGGGCGCTTCCCTCACCGAGCAGGACATCGACCGCATGCCACGGGAGATGAGAATGCATGGTGACACTGTGTGTGTGTGTGTGTGTGTGTGTGTGTGTGTGTGTGTGTGTGTGTGTGTGTGTGTGTGTGAGAATCATGTCCATGATGTCATCCTGCTGTGACTGTCCACAGGAAACTTCAACTCCAGCAGGTTTCTGGAGTACATGAGGCAGTTCAAGACCTCTGAGCAGAGAGGCCATCAAGAAGGAAAAAGTACATTTGTTGGGGACTATTATTATATATTTTTTATTATGTATATGAATTATGATTATACCTTTGTCTTTTCAGTCATAACTCACTTTGTTTCTGCTTATTTATATTGTATTGTGTGTGATGACTGAATAAAAATACTACTAAAAGGTGGAATTAAATATATATTTGATACACAAAATCAAATATATATATTGTTTTTTTAATATGAAAAATATGGAATTATGTGGGCCTTTAATGTCTGTTCTACTAGATGAGTACTTGTTCCAGCTGACCACGTTCCCCTTTAACGGATACATTCTGTGGACCGTTCCGACTGCAGCAGCATCAGCTCCTCTTTGATGACGAGGCGGAGGCCACGATGCAGGCGGTCGACACCGATGAAGACGGACGCATCGACTACAGAGGGAAGGAGGAGCTTTATTTTATTTTTTGCATTTTACACTGTGTGGTGCACTGACTGGTAGTCACCACCGAGGGTCAGCAGTTAGTAACGCTTCATGTCTGAGGGGGAAAAGCTCACTCACACATTACGTTTAGTAAAGGAAATAAAAGGTAAATAAAAAAACATCTTACTTTAACAGCTAATGAGTTGTAAAATACAGCTTCATTAAGTCTCTAATTCTCCTGGCTCCATGTTTCTCCCTCTTCAACCTCTCAGAGTTCTCAGACATGGTGAAGATGGAGAAGAAACCAAAGAAGTAAGGTCACAAGGTCAATCCATGCTTACTGTAAAACTTCTTTAGGGCCAACAGAAGTCAAACAACGACCCAATAAATGAACTATTTAAACATATCCCTACTGATTATTAGTCATTAAAATGAATGCGTGGGAACCAACGGGCTTGGGTCTGAGTGCCAGACAGGATACGGAAGTGAGACCGTGTTCAGAGAGACGCAGCTGGTTCTGATTCTGTATTTTGATGAACACACAATCTCGATAAAAAAAAATTCAGTTTACTATTACAGGTTGAAAACTATTCAACACGTGTACTATTTAAGATCACCTCTCTGGGGGGGAGGGGGAGGCCATGACCCCGGCTGTATGCACTGATGGAGAAGCACCAGCTACAGAGATCTGGACCTTTTTCATATCTCACTCTGGTGCACTGACCGGGTTCCACCACTAGGAGTCAGCAGTCAGTAACTCTTCATGTCTGAGGGACAGCAGCTCTCTCCCTTCAGCTTCTCAATCATTTACTTTCTATACAATGAATAAAAGTGCAGACATGGAAGCTGCTTTCTGTGCTGTTTATTTATTCAAACCTCGTTTTAAAAAGGCTGCGATCACAGATCAGAGCTCAGCGTGATGCAAATGCCCTTCGATCATTACGTGAGCACATGCTGCGGTTAAAGAAGTCCATGTTGTCCCGGAGGAGTAAGAGCCCACATTGATTATCACAGAGGGGCAAGACACCAAATCTACTTCTCTAAAACAAACTAAGAACATAAAACCTTCATCGTGGAACAAAACGCATCAAGTGGAAGTTGATGCAGCATCCACACCTTCAGCATCAGGAACCGTTTGTTTTTCACCTAAAAGACGTGAAACTTAGAAAAATGGGATCCACATCATGCCATAAATCCAAAAGCATCTATTTATATCTCAGTGACAGAAAGGCCTCATGTTGCAGGCCTGTGGCTGCACACTACCAACTACAGTATGTAATTGTAACCTCCTGCTGCCAGACGTCTTGGCATCGCTGCAGAGCCTGACTCATGCACTCCCTGAAGCAGCAGCCCCCCCCGACCACACCACGCACATCTGGCTGTGTGCGTCTGCCTCCACGCCTCAGAGCCCTCGGACACGGAGAAGATGGAGAAGAAACCCAAGAGGTCACGAGGTCACTCTGTGCTTCAGAGTGTTACTACAGAGAGAGAGAGCGTGTGATCTACCCTCAGAGGGATCTCCTCTCTCTGTGGATCTTTATCAGTTTGCTAAATGAAAATGAATAAAAAGGTAAATTGTTAAAACGACTGTCAGCCACTGATTAACCCTCAATCTGAGTGTTTGCCTGTTAAATTATAAAGGAGTTGTTAGCACACAGCTGGCGCCTGAATACACATGCTGAGACGACGGTCTCAACCTTTTTATCAAGGTCTGACTTCTTGTTTCCTGTTGTGACCAAGAGAGTTTCAGGTCCTAGATTTCTAATAATGTCTTTGCAAGTTTCCTGGAAAGAGTTGATTATGAATTTATTTGGCACCAATGACAGGAAATTAGAGATTTTAGACATTTGAGGTTTGTTTTTGATCTTCAGTAGAGGAATATATATATATATATATATTCAAATTGCCTGTAGACTAATTTCACAGAAAATGGATTGAATTCAATAAACGTGTGCCAAATTGCTACGAGTTACAACAGTTAATTTCTGGAAAATGATCCCAAATGATGGAACCAAACCAACCAAAAAAAATGAAAGAATCACAAACCAGCCGATTGAATCACAGTTTAGTTTATACAGATTATAAAAAGGTCAAAATCAAAAATTGCACTATAAAGTTATCCCCTTCCTGGTTTGCACTTTGTTAGAATACAATCCCACGCTTCAGTTGACCGTCTGGATGTGTGTTGATTCAACAAACAGTAAATGTTAAATACAAATGTTCCCTGATCTGCAGCTTGTCTTTGGTTTCTTTTCCATCTCAGACGTACAGCGCCATTCCCCAACTCTCTTAGATTCCTCCTCAATGAGAGGAACTAAGACACAAGTGATAAGATGAGTGAGCTAACTCAAACAAAGGGACAACGCCCTCCTCAGCAGTATTGCGGCGCTGCACTCACAAACAGAACAGAGCCGGAGTGTGTAACTCAATAGGAACAGTTTAAAAAGAGCTGATCTCACTTTTAAACTAACTTTATCAAATAAACTCGTGTTCATGTCATTTTGATGCCACTTCCAGCGATGGTGGCTTTGACCGGAATGACATGCTCACAAATGCTAACATGCTAATGCTAGCGCACAACTTTTGTTTCCCACTAACGTTAGCTTATTAGCACTAAACGAAGTAGCAGAGGCTGGTCATTAAATATTCAACATAATTAAAGTTTGGACCCGACGAGGCAGGATTAAAATAATCTGGATATTACCAACGTTTTGTGCCAAATTAAATGAAGATCAATTCAATAGTTGTCGAATTATTTCAGCTTGAATCAAAGTGGACGATGAAGCATCAAAATCTTTTTAACCACATCGAGTGTTGTTTTGAGCTATTTTGATCCACAAAAAGAGATTTAAATGTTTCGTAACAAATACTAAAATAATGTAAATAAAAAGTAAGTCTCCATGCTGAACAATAACCGCAGCCGTCAATAAAAAAATACTCCTCGTTTGCTTCATAAGAAGGAAACGTCTGCTACTTTTTCTTCTTGCTTTGCTCAGTTCAGAGTCTTGAACGAGTCGTTTTGAGGAACAAAAGGGTCGTCCCTCTTTGGACTTCCTGTCTGCTGGTAAGTCGCGTGGAGACAGGACGACGTGGTTATCCGGTCGACCTGGATTCAGCCGTGCATGTAGAGTCGTATGAGGCCCGCCTGGTGCAGCTGCTGCCACAGAGTCATCTCCATACGCAGGTCGTGGTTGATGAAGAAGCCCACTGGGTGGTAGTTGCTGTCGTAGTAGTGGTCTGAGTAGTTCCTGTAGTCCGGGGTCATGAACCCGTACGCGCTCACCTTCATGAACACAAGAAACAAGAGCTGCAGTCAGGATTAAACAAATCCTGTCATGTGAGAGATCTAATCTTTTAACGACCTTTAGATCGTGTTTGAACAGCTTCTTTTTATTCCCCACACTCAGGTAGAGAAACTGTTAAGACTGATCTGCGATCTAACTAATGAATCATACATTCTGGCACGGCAGAACAACTTTAATGTTCCCCGAGTTCCTGGCAGCACCAAGTCAAGGCTGCACAAGTTCAGAGGATGCGTGCCTTCACAAGGCCGGCTGCTCGCCTCCAAAACATTCTCAGGCTATCAGGCGAGTGCAGGCTTGTCCCACAGTGAATGAACGGCTGACATGGAGCAGTAAAGTGCAACACAGTAATGATGCATTCCAACCTGGTCGCAGGTGTGCAGCGCCGCCAGCAGCATCACGGCACCTGTCGACGGACGGTAAATGTTCTTATATTTGGTTTTCAGAGCGCCGGAACGAAGGAATCTGAAACAGAAAAAGTCAAACAACCCGACATTATTGCGTCGGGGGTTAAAAGTCGCACAAACTCAGTGTGTGGGGGAACGTCCCCCTCTGCAGCTCACTCTGGTTTCAGCCTCCCGCTTCTCTTTTAATCTCATTTCCAGCTGTTTGAAACGTGAGCCCGGCCTTTCATTCGGTCCACCTGCTCTAGCGGATCATTTGGCTCACCTGTTTCTGAGGTAACGGATGAAGTCGGGGTGGTACATCTTCAGCTTCTCCGCTGACACGTCCTCTCCAAAGTACCTGGATGGACTGTGGGATAAAATATATGACATGAAGAGTAAAGGAAAGAAAAACAGTGTGAATGTTTACTGTACATATTCCTTTCTCTAGACGGCCACAAGGGCTGCAACACTTGACCGGGTGTGACTATGGAAGTGGTAGAGATGGCACGGTGAGGTTTGAAGTCTTCCGTTGGTGAAGCAACAGCACTAAGCGCTGACTTACTGCCTTACGCAGGAAAGCTGCTCCGTTTAGCCCAGAGAGAGAAAGACACCCGTCTCCTCAAACGCATTTCAGAACAATCCATCCAATAGTTGATGAGACTTTTCACTCTAAACCACAAAAGATCAGCCTCACTGTGGCGCTAGAGGGAAAAGTCAGTTGATCACCAAAGTCAGCAGGGTTCATCCTCTGGGGATCATGAATGCCCTTTCAAAATGTTAACGGCAATTTGAGCAATATTTGTTGAGATATTTCAGTCTGGACTAAAGTGATGGATGCCCGACATCGACATCCCTAGAGCGAAGACGCTAGCGTGGCTGAAATGCTTGTGCGGCGTTTCTAGCTGAACATATAAAGAAGAACAATAAAGAGCATCATCATCATCATCATCATGACAGTCGGTAGGCGTGGCTTACTCTTTGGCCCGCTCAGGTCCTCTCTCCACTCGACTGTGTGTCGCTGCAGCCTTCATCAGCAGGTAATCGCGGTCGTGATCCGGCAGAAAAACGTATCGCGTTTCCTGTTGGAGAGCAGCAGATGTGGTAGAATAACCGTACGATGTAAATCATGTAAAGTGGTACTTTGAACCCAGCTTGTATTAACATGTTTGAAAGATAAACAGGAGAACATGATGAGAGGATAACAGGGTTCTGTATTAGTTGAGTCACCAGATCTGACGGTGAAATGTGGTGTGAGGTTTGGGACTAGATATAAAAGTCATATGTTCAAAATAAACTTCCGTCTTTACAGGAAACAACGCAGTTAGGTTGAGGAGAAGATCGTGTTTTGGGTTAAAATAACTAGAGCAGAAGAGTTACTGAAGTACAGACGTTATGTGACGAATAATCAATGTCTCCTGGATCAAAGACTGCTTTTTGTTTGACCCAGGCTCCTCCATACTTCAGTCTTTGTACCTCCTGATCACCATTACATACTAATTAACTTTGTGGGATATCTCACTGGGTCCTCACTTTAGACTGAGGGGGTCCTCTGTAGCCGGCGCCGGCGTAGCTCCTCATGGAGTTCATCAGCGTGTTGGTGGAGAAGGTGTAGTGGGTGGTCCGAGACCCCACGTCCTGCTCAAAGCCCTTAATGATCGCCCCGTTGGTCCTGAAGATACACAAGTGTCCACAAACACAACAACATCCTGGTATTCTGTCCTGTAAATCTTCCTTTAATCACACACACACACACACACACACACACACACACACACACACACAAAATCTTTCTTATTCTCAAACATTCCGCAGCATCACAGCACTAAACATACTTTCCATGTCGGCAGGAAACAACCGACACAAACACGGAAACAAAAAGTGAAAGCAAACACCATCATTAAAGGTCCCATCATCACACATGAGCTTTCACCTCCATATCACCATCTAATAATCCGCTGCTCTCATGAATCTGAGGGATTTATACAGTATAGACATAATGTAACGCATTGTTAAAAGGTTCCCTCTCTTTGATTTGATTGGGTATAGACGTTACTCAACTATTGCTCGAGACAGTTGTACATGTTTGTAGAGTGGGGATATTAAAAGCTGCTTACAGCACAAAAACAGGCGGCTTCAGAAACCAACAAAAGCACAAGAGATTTGACTGGAAGCTCTTGACAGCGTCTACCTGAAGACGTAGTGGTGACCGTCGATCTCCTTCCCTTTCTTTGAATCCTTCAGGATGCCACCGTTCCCCACCGCAGCACAGCGGATGCACTCAGACTTATTGCTGCGATCCGTCCAGTCGTCCAACAACCGCCAGCTAGACGGAGAGTTGAGGACGGACAGAGTTTCCACCAACGCTGACAGACAAACAAATCACAGCATTAATCTGGATGAGGTTTATTCAACACAGCTTTTCAAAAACAACCCTTGAATCACGAGGAAAAGATTTAGCTGCTGAACCTCTGATTATTTTTGTGCCTTTAATTGCATCCGCCCACAGATTCACTTCTTTGAGATTGGTCTGAAAGAAAAGAGCCCCGAGGCGACACATGAAGCTGCAATTATCTCAGTCACGAGGCCCACATGTCCTGTTGCAGGCACAATGCTTTGCTTCTGTCTGGGTACATTTGGAATGTAATCAGAGAGCAGATTATCAGCTTTAGACGACCGCTGGTCTCTACAAGACAAGTCCATTTGGTTCATTCTTTTGTTTTTTACATTGTGATGTCGTGTTCTTGTATGAACCCCAGGAAGAGGAGTTTCTACTGATAATGGAGATAGCGGGATAATAAAAAATTGGAATTAAAATTTAAGTTTTTTGGTAATTTGATAAACTGCAAATTAAAAATATAAAATAAAACACAATAACATTTAAAAAAATGTATGAAGGAAACAAACAATATAAAATAACATTTTAATAAATAAAAAAGTTTAATAAAATATGAAAAAAATAAATTTAAAAAAAAATGTAGAAAAACCAAAAACTCACTCTTGTAATCGATCACCTCCCAGCCATGTGCTCCTGGGTACTGGCTCAGGCGCTGGTGCTGTTCAGGAGTGACGTGTTCGGCCCACTGCAGGACCGGAATGTGTTCCAGGAACCGGCCACCAAATGCCGTCTTTGTGACCCGACGACTGATATCGTCTGGGCATTCCTGGGGGAGGCAGGTGACACATGGCCTCGTTATCAAACCACATACAGAGAGCACTTTCTCCACGCTCTACATAGGACTTAGCAGCAAAAAACAGTTGTGTCCCACATGATCTTTGCAAAGCCAGCATCATTAGTTCCACTTGGCAGGTTGCACAACCTCAATATTAACCTCAAGGCTCTCACTGGAGCTAATTATCCAGGACTTACACAGCTGCAGAAAAACAAACGCTCACAACAAGAGCTTTCAACCACTGAGAGACATGTTCATTATGAAATTTACATGCACACATTTTGCTGACGCATTAAATATGAAACCACATGAGGGCAAAACAAGTGCAAACACGAAAAGGTTCCACAAGTGCAAACATGGCAACGCACGCATGGGAAGACCTTATCTCGTCAATTGTGTTCTCTGTGGAATCAATTATCAAATCAGCCTGTGTGCTCTCTCCTCTTAAGTAATGGTTTACTGGAGAACAGCGTGTGCATGGCAGGAAACAGACTGGGATTCACCATGTTGATGCGTTGTTTTGTTAAACTCTTAAAGAGGCCTGCGTCCGCGCCCACGAGGTTCAAAGACTTTGAGGCAGATTTGAGTTTCATCCGGTGGGTTTTCTTCCTCGGTGAACCATCTGACAGATGGACAAAGAAATGTGGCGTTGACGACACATTCAGGGTGGGAGCGGGAGAAAACAAGAGCCAAGCCGAAGGAGGCGTGGCTGTGTTTCCTATCAGGCGTTTACTGCAAACACAGACCCACCCAGCGTGGCAGCCGCCCTATGACAGCATCTCCAGCCCAATGATGAAAACCAGAAGCGTGCGACCATCTGAAGCACTGATGCTCCACATGTGTGGTACTCAACATCATGTGACACAGATCACAAGTTTACAAGGTAGAAATTATAACTCTCACCATCAAACCATGAGGAATATTTACATGTTCTCAAAACTCTAGTGCGGTATTTTTGCCATTAATTGGAGGATAAGATAAAAATCCACAATTAACTGATCCAACCAGCCTGATGGGAGGTCGAGAGACACCCAGTCACATCCATAACCAGTGTAGCCTTACAATCACACAACAAGCCTTAAAATGAACCCATCAGAACATTAGAAATGTTGGTGAATTAATTTGTCTCATTTAGCGGCTGGCTAGCTAGTTAGCTTTTTAATCTGACACAGGAACTGGACTGAAAGAAACAGGTTTAATTTCCTACAAATAATAAATCAAATATGGAATAAAAAGGTGCTGTAATCACATAAACATAATTGTTAGAGGTCTGCACCAATGAAATCCAAACAAGTAACCAACCGTTAGTGGCGGGATGTCTTCACTCATGTAAGTGTCTCCGATGAACGGAGGTTCTGTTGGCCCGTCTGCCTGGACGAGCTGCAGTATTGGGGGGCCTTTGGTCCTGGTTCCGTCCGCTTCATCGGTCCTAGAACTGGACTTAGAGACATCCGGGGCGCTGTTCTCTGCTGGTTTGTGTTGAGCGGCCGTGGATGTTTGAGTCTTTGCGGTGGAGGCCGGAGGGGGACGGGTCCACTGGTCCCTGCTGGTCTCTCTGTCAAGAGGCTCCTCAGAGTCTCGTGAGCTGCTGTGGAAGACAGAACGAGATCTGGCGGTGAGCCCCCCCACACACACACGCACACACACACACTTCCTCTCTCTCACAACGTGTTGTCATGTGGTTGTGTGCATGTTCTTAAAAAGGAATAGTTCAACATTTTGGGAGAATATCCAAATTTATACATTTTGTGCAATAAAACGTTTTCCTTATTTTTCAATATCGTCGCTGATATTACTCTCAATACCAAGCACAATATTACCTTCATATTTTAGTTTTTAATCTAATGTTAGTTACATTTATTTTTACTATATTTACCTCGGTCGTATTGCTGTCGTATTTCACACCGTCGTCAGTATAACTTCTTATACACTTAATACTCCAATGTTCATTTATCTTTACTTTTTTACTCTATTGTGTTTTTCCTATTGTTGTAATCTTTGATCGATCTCTGTCAGAGATTATTAAAGTTCAATCTAACCACATCTTATCTTATTTGTGTTCTTGACTCGGGTTAGATAAGAATAATAAACTTCATTTGTAAAGCTCCTTTAGTGCAAGAAATGCAGCACGAGGTTTTACAATAAAGTAAGATAGATGTAGACTTAAAAGTTGAAAAGTAGACTTTGAAAGTTTGACGTCCTGTTCACAGTTCATATTTGCTACCTCGTCTTCTGAGTCCAGAAGCAAACACAGACCCTCCCAATTTATCACATCACACAAATCCACGACCGGTCTTTACACGGAACTAACCGTCTCAGAACGTCAGGGTGTAACCTCACCGCAGGTCTTATCAGAGTCCAGTACAAACAGAGACACCGATTACAATAACACAAAAGAAGTTTAAAAGATTAGGATTGGTACCCATGTTTACAACGAGCACGCCTATAAATTAGTACATCAGGTAAAAAAATCAAGTAAAATAAAACATTTTAAAAGAAGCGCAAAAAAGACTTTCAGGCCTTTTACAGTTTGTTAAAAGCTGAAGTGAAGAGATAAGTATTTAAAAAATATAAATGTCAGCAGCTAGTTAGCTTAGCTTAGCATAGGGACTGGAAACAGTGGGGAACAGCTAGCCTGGCTCTGTCAGAGGTTTCCAGCTGCTCCAGATCTCACGGCTCCTCAACCCTGTGTATCTTCTTTGTTTACAGCTTTACAGGTGCTGGTTGAGGGATTAGCTTTGAGCAGTTTAGCCATTTCCACAACGTTTCCTGCCTTTATGCTAAGCTAAGCTAAGCGACTGGAAAACTCCAAAATCACATACAACGGACAGATGTGTGGTATCTATCTGACTAAGGATGCAAAAATTCATATTGCCCTGAATATCTAACTATTGCTTCAAATGTGTTATTGTAGATTATTGTATTTTAATTGACACAGATTTATTTTACTGTTGAAAACTATTGACAGGGCGTGTCTGTGGCTAAAAACCACAAGGGGTAAATGGAAACATGAGTTTCATTTTGCAATTTGGAAAAACAAACCCTTTAATTAAGTTAATAACTTTTCACACAATAACACGTTAATCACATGCGAGGTTGTGAGGTTTACTTTGAAAAGTACGCTGATTTATGACTCCCACTGCATAACTTGGAAAACATATTGCAGACATGAAGAAGAGGGAGGAGGCTGTATTTCGTCTGAGATATTTAATGTTTGTGTGCTCAACTAACTCGAGGTTCACTTACTAGCTTTTAGACTAATCTTTCCCTCAGCAGGGTGGAGCTGTCAGTAGGTATGAACCTTATGGGGGAGGGAGTTGAGGAAGGCAGCGAGATGCAGCTGAAAGTTCCAGAAAAAGCCAGTAAGTGGACCTTAATTTAAGATTTGTTTTGTTGTAACCTTATCTTTATCCCATTATTGACCTTTTATAGTCGTCCTGACGCACCAGATGCTGCTGCTGTCACCCTCATAAAAGATGCCAACGAGGCACAAATGCAATAAAGTGGCTGAATTTAAGTGTAAATGGAGCTCGTTAAAGTTGAACAAAGATCAAAGGTTGACCTGCAGACGGGACAGGAAGTCAGGAAAACGTCACCTTAAAAGGATGTGATGAGAGGAAGATAAAGTTACATTAAATGTTTGACTTACTTTTTCATTTACGAAAAATAATATGTATATCTATTAAATGATTGAATAAGACATTATGTTTGGAGTGATGCAGGGTAAAATATTTAATTTGACTCTTTTGGGATTTATTTATTGTGATGAAAAATAATAGAAAAACATATCTTTATTTTCCATTTTTAATATGTTTTCCCACTAAACAATGATTTCACTGTTCTTTTGTCCCGTGACTATTTAACACATATTCTAATACTAAAATTTAAAACAGTGTCCTGAATATAGTTATATAGTAATAGATTATTTTTATAAACTTTATGTTTATTTAAATATTCAACTTTCAAAATATTGCATCTCAGTAAAATTATGGCAAAACAAAATTTAAAAAAATGTATTTTATTTTCTAAATGTAAAAGAATCCTCCGTCCAGTAAAAATGTGGAGGTCTGCTCCATCAAAAGCAGCTCCAGAAGGGAAGTGAGGAGGACACTTAAATTAAAGAACAGCTTTAAAAATGAGAGACCTGCCGGCTCCTCGAGCCCCAAACCGACCATTCAGTGTCTGAAACGGACCTTCGACAAACAGCCATCTTTTCCATTTCTGTCCTCTGAACTCAACGCGTTGTATCTGGAGCTGCTGGCTCTTAAAGCTGGAGCGCTGCCCGATACAACAAAGCTTACGCTTCACATACGCGTGGAAGAAACCACCTCCAGGGGCTTTTTTTCATGACTGTGTGGCTCCTTTGTTAAAACCACAATGACACAACTAGAGAGGGAATAAGTGCTGCCTACAGACAAGTACATCGTACCACTCATGATCTAGATCAGAGGTATTCAATTAAAGTTCAGCGATGTCCAGTTAGAGAGAATGTCCTCATCCAAAGGTCGATTAATGATTTAGTCCCATGTATAGTGAACAACAGTTGTATTAACGTCTGTATGAGTCAACATCTGACTGTCAAAGCAAGTAAAGAAAGTTCAGTTGAACTGGATTAATTATAAATAATATACTCTAATAATGAATAAATCTTCTCTTATTTCAAGTAACATGTAGGCTGGATAAAAAATACAATACATATCAGTAAGTGTTGGAAGAATGCGACTCTTAAAATACTTAACTTTAGAAAAATGAATGTAACTGAATTGTTTGTGCTGCAGCTTTAGATTCAGTTCATACAGGTGTGAAGTGGTGAATCAAAGAAGCCACGATATCCATATTATTCTCATCTTCTAATAAGGGGCTTTATCTGTGGTTATTAAACAGATTGTTTCAGCTCTATTCTCTCTGTTAACATCATTGTTGAACAGTGAATTCATGTGTCAGGATTCTGATCATTTTGGGCTCTTAGATCGTTTATGGTTTGTACCTTCATATCAGATGTGAGTGGGTACGTTTGCTCAAAAGAGTTGTCTTTGTCTCGTAGTGACGCTTCACATTACTGCTTCTAAACTCACTCCATTGTCTCTGAACATACAGTATGTGACATACTGGTTTTGAACTGCCGATAGGAAGAATGAAGGTATAAAAGTCTGTCCATTCTTGGTTTAAGACTCTTATCTCTCTGGTCCCCCTGGTCTCTCTGGTCTCTCTGGTCCCCCTGGTCCCCCTGGTCTCTCTTATCTCTCTTTCCACATTTCTCTTCTTAGAGAACATCATGTGAAATAACTTCTCTGACTCACGTACTTCTCTGACTGTTGGGTCTCTCTCCTGTGTGTGTGTGTGTGTCTTATAGGAATACACATATATGATTCACAACACATGTAAGTGGTCTGTGTGTTTCCTGGACCTCTGAACGAGTTCCGTAAAGGCTGTGAGCGTGAATCAGTCTCTGGTCGTTTCCCATAACAGATTGTTTTTAGTGTTGTTTTTATTCTGAGCTCTTCTCACTGGCTTTAAGTGGGCAGGGTTCAGTTGGGATTTGTGTTAACTTTAACTGTTGCTTATTTAGCCAGGATTTTTAATTTTTAAATGATTTGTTTTGCAGCTTTAAGGTTATGTATTTTGTAGGAGGTGCAACCCTTTGTTATAATGAATCACTTTGCACTATGGGAAGTGTAGAATCCAGTGTTTTTGCAACTTTCCTCAAACTAGGGGCTAAAAGTCGGCCTCTGGCCTCTCTGCATTCATTTTGACTTTCTGATTTCTGAAGTCTCTCTTCACCTGCAGTGTCTCCTCTGATAACCTTACATTGTATTTTATCATCACGTACAGGTTGGTACGGCTGTCCCTCCGCTCACCTCTCGTTCGTTCCCTGTATGAAGCCCTGGAGATGTTTGAAGGGCAGCATGGACCACGACAGAGGACTCTCCAGGCTCACGCACAGCATGTAGACGCACAGCAGGGAGCCGACGGCCACCACGCCGACCACCAGCCTCCTATGGAGCGCCATCCCCGTCAAGGAGCGAGCGACCGTCGCCGCCAGGCCGTGTGTGCTTGCCCCGCTCTCAGGAACATGAGGAGGCAGAAGACGGAGGCTGAGGGGAAAGAAGAGGACGCTGTCCTGGCGAGGGACAGTTTTGTTTTGGTCAGCCAGGCGAGCGGAAAGCGAGGGGTGTCAGTGATGGTGGGGATTTAATTAGCCCACAATAGGTTCTGGGCTCCACTCTGAGCTTCTCTCAGCACAACTACAGCAGGAGAGGGAGACAGGAAGAGAGACAGAGAGCTGGAACAAGGGCAAAGACTTCATCTTTCAGCGTCAACAGAGTCCCAAATAATCCCTTTTTAATGAAACCTTTTCTCATGCCCCTGAACACAAAGTGCACGGTCACACGCTTCATATCTTGTTGTGTGCTGCTCTTATTCATCTCCTCTCTGCACTGAAGGTACAGAAGTGGGAACACTGTAGCTACACACAACAGAAAGTACAAGATTAACACAGTGAGAGGAGCTGCACAGGAAGCATTTCTTCGCTGTTCCGAAACTGACAGAAGGGAAAAAAAACAGGTCAGCCAGCTACAGCTGATGAGTGACTACAGATACAGGAAGCCAGAAACTCCAATCTGACAGGAAACCTGTGAATGAAACCTGTTGTGGTCACACCAAAGAGTCTCATGTACACTCTGAGCACCAGCCCGCTCCACTTCTCACCTCCTTGGTGAGGGTAATAAACGTGGCACGAGGCCAGGCTCGTAAATCTGCTCTCTGGACTTTCAGTGAATCTTTGAGGAGAAATCTACAGACAGCAGTAAAAGAAAAACACCTAAATGTGTATTTGATCTCAGAGGAGCCGTGTTGAGGGAACTAAACAGCTCAAATCTGACTCAAAGTCAAGTCTTTGTGCTGCTTTTCTTAAACCCATCAATCCTCCCAAGTAGACGCTTGATAACGGGGTGAATCAGGAGAATAATAACGGCACTGACCACAATGTGAGTGATGCCGTTTCCCCCCCGGCCCATGTGAGTAGGTGCTCCTCCTGACTGAGGCTGAAATGGGGGAATGGAAAGAATGTGTTGCAGCGATCCAGTGATAAACTCAGATCTCTGATGAGAGACACAACATGGAAACTCTGGAGGAAGATATCTTTCCAATCAAAGAGACTTTAACTAAACAGTTAAAGTAAAGATGTCTACTTTAAATAAATGTCATAGAAGTGATTAAATAGTCTCCAATGTGGCTGACAAAGAGTCAGAGAGACTAAAATAAGAGGGGAAAGAGACCACACATGCATCAGACCGTGACAAACCATGACTCAATCTCCTCCTTTTAGTCAGAGGACTCTACTCGCTCTCCTCTCGTCTAACAGACAGTAAGCTCTTCAGAATAGAAGGTAAAGTAAAGAAGGAAAGCTCGTCCTCTCACCCGTAGAGAGTCTTCTGTGGTCTCAGTCCGTCCTTCACAACCGCTACAATGAAGACTTATTCCTCCAAGTTGGTGAGCTCTGCTGCTGATCTAGTGTGGAGCGGCTGCACTGCCAGCCTCTGCACTGTATGGGCGGGACCATTGTGAAATGAGCAACAGCTGCTGGCAATTGGACAACCCCCCTGCATGAGAGGGAGAGGGAGAGAGAGAGAGAGAGAGAGAGAGAGAGAGGTTGCAATAAAGTCATGAGCAGCTCTGAGGATGTCTGCTATGCTCACAATGTGTGGAGACCCTGAATCACACACACACACACACACACACACACACACACACACGAATGTAAAAGGTCAGGTGACGAGCAGGAACATGCAGACCGAAACTTCCTCCACACAGCTGGCTCAGCTTTTTTAAAACCTCTTCCGTCACGGGAGCCATTCGCTCCATCCAGCCCTCGGTCAGCTGGGCCCTCCCAGCCAAGGGGGAGTCAATGGTCGGTGTGCCTCTCCGGGTTCTGGTTTCCTGTGAAAAGAAGGGAAATTAGGCTGAAAGGAGAGACACGTTTTCAGTACGCACTACCGGTTGCTTTGGCAGTCCGGAGGAAGTGAGCTAGCTGCAGGGTGAAAGGAAAAAAGAGAAGAAGAAGAAGAAGAAGAAGAAGAAGAAAAAGAAGAAGAAAGTGGGTCAGCTCTGGACATTATTCCAGATGTATAGGCTGAAACATCCCAGAGGTGGTTTTAACTTCCATAAAGGCAGCTCGTATTGTGCCAAAACATCAATTATCAAGAAACTGTTCGAGGTTTACAGACATTTCAGGAATGAAACGATGCATTTAAATGCTGAAGAAATGCTGTTAATAAATCATTTCAGGCTTCAAACCGACAGCTCTTTGTGCTCATTATTGGAATCCCCCAGCGTGTTGAGTGGATGTGACTGAAGACACTTCTTCGTCTCCCTCGACGCCGTGAGTTACGGACTGAGAGAGCGAAGGATGATGGGAGGGCGGGGGACGGAAAACAAGCAAACAATTGTCTTGTTTTGCCAAAGCGAACAGAGACGAGGAACACAGCGCACGTCTGCAACAAGCCTTTGCTTCTTTGTTTTTATTCAGTCACCATCTTCACAGTTTAATTCAACCATCATCACCACGACTAATGATCACAACTAAACTAAAACAAGATGAAGAGCTACGTGTTCGGGCACAGAGGTTACACGTGGAGAGATGGATCAGAACAAAATTAGAACTGTTGACAGCTGGAATGGTTTGTATACAAAGGTACAAATGAATAAAAAAAATACAAAATAAACTTGTGCTTGTGTGTATCTGACACCACGAGGGTCGTCTCAGGTCACAATGGGAGGAACGCTGGCACACACACACATGCACACAAAAGGCAAGGCGCATTGGCACTTGTAGGGCGGGCATGTGCGAGGAATGCCAGCTCCCGTCTCCAACTCACATCGCCACCGTCTGCTGAGCCAACACCGGCAGAGCAGACCGTGCTGCTTCCGGGCCTCCACACCAGAGTCCTCGTGGCTCACAGCGTGACGCACATCAACCACCTCCTGCCTCGCTGCCCGACCTCCAGTCGGGGCTTCTGTTTCAGTTCTGCTCCGTAAACTTGGAAGTGCTTTGTGGCGACAATCACTCTGATTTAGTGCTTCGGGTCAGAAACCGCATTACCCATAAAGCTGCACTGCTCCTACCCTTCCACCACGTTACACTTCATATGAACCCTTCACATTGGGGCTCGGACGACTTCCGTGTCAGAAAAACCTGACGTACTGTATTTAAACCATCTACAAACGGCATAGTTTTAACGTGTTAGCGTGGCGGTTAGCCGCTCTGATAAGTTACAGTAAAAACACTTGATGTGCTGACGAGCTTTGAGAGAAGAATACTTCAAAGGACCATCGTGTGGACCAACACCACCACAAAGGGTTGTGTAAGAGCGCTGAGCTGGGAAATAAATAAAGAACAGAGGAACTCAATAAATATGTTGGTATGTGAGGGCGAGTTTGGGATCTTTACAATCACATCATTTCACATCATGTTGCACACGAAATAACTTCATCTTCAGGTTTAGCCCCCCCCACACACACACACACACACACACACACTAACTCATGCTATGGACCGTTCTCACTGAAATCTTATCCACAGAGGCTTTCAGTGTCAGTGAGAGGGGCTTCGACTCATCTTCAACCAACGTCAGGGTCACAATGAAGTGAGGAGAGCTGGTGGCTCCTGAGAGCATCACTAAACATCCCAACACAGGTAGTGTGTGTGTGTGTGTGTGTGTGTGTGTGTTTTGTCACAGTGCAGCCTCTGAGTCAGGGCGGTGAAACATACCTCTGGTCACATGCTTTGTGCCCCCTCAGACCCTCCTACCACCCGGATCTGTCCCAGCTCTGCTTTCCTAATCTTATAAACATTTTCTATGCACATTCCTTCCTCCTTCCTCCCCCCACCCCTCCAATCCTCTCTCCTCTTCTTTCTTCCTCACATTCAGAAACTTCCAAAGCCTACAATCCTCCGTCTTTCAACTCAAACCTTCTTCTCCACTCGTCCTTTTCCTTTCTTTATAAAGTTGTCCACTCATCAATCGCTCTTTCTATCAGCATCCTACATGCACTGTAACTTCAGTCTGTAACCACGTGTCAGTACTTCACTTCTAACGTCAGGTCCACAGAACACGCTGCTCAGAGACCCGGGGCTCTGTGAGGGAGAGGTTATCCTGTAAACAGCACTCACTCGCCTTCATGGGGCACTGGGACAAAAACACACGACTCAGCAGATAAAAGGGGGCACCAGGAGCTCCACTTGGTCCCAACAGAAGATAATTCTACAGCTCTGACTGATCCCAGTTCCTGGTTGAAAGTGGTCCTCCAGAAAGAGCACCCCCCCCCCCGCACTCCCACCACACCTCTCCCACTTCAAACCAGCGCAGGTTTCTTCGTGCTTGTTTCAGAAACATCTGGAACTGTTCTCCGTGGCAGCTCTGTGGGGAACATTTAGGCATTCCTGCACCAGAGGAAGGGGGGGGGGGGGGGGGGGGGTACAGTAACAGTCAGCAGTCCTCCTCGGGAAAGGAAAGAAGAAGAATTTGTGCCACCTGGTCTGTGGCATGGAAATTAGGGAAGTTCCAACAACACGCTGCTTCATGCCTGGGGGGGGGAGGGTAGGAGAAGGTTCAGTCACTTGTTCACCCTTCTGAAGTTCCACAGGTTCAGTCTTGCATCCAAAGAAAAAACAGAAATCCAGTGGGGGCTTCACAGCGACACAATGATAGGAAACGGGGGGGGGGGGCCTCCTGTCGGTCACTTCTCCAGCAGCTGCTTCCTCTGCTGCTCCCACAGGGCCTCCAGGTTGTCCGCCCTCTTCAGGGCAGCCTATCAGAGGAGAGGACGACATTTAAACACACGCTGTCAGTCATCTCTCATCCAACCGTGTTTTCTTATTGATCACAGAATGACGGGGGGGGGGGGGGGCTCACCTCGTGCTGCTTCCGGAGATGACTAACAGTTTCCTCTTTCTTCAAGATGGCCGACTTCACTCTGTCAAAAATAAACCACAGACAAGAGGACGTTAATGAAAATGTGACTTCTTTTGTTTTGTTGTTTTCACACCAAGCAGACATCGACTGACCTCATTCAGAAAGAAACACAGGAGCTGAAACATGTTTGCAATAAATAGATTTTAACACATTATACAACTAAATAAATAATAATATTTAAAACAGAAACAGCTAATGAATAAAGTAAGTTAAACTGACCGTTGGTGGACTTCAGCCAGTTCCTCCTCCTTCTCCCTGGTGACTCTCTCCACCTCCAGCCGGAGCCTCGCTCGGACCTCTGACACCTCCACCTTCATCCTGCGGTTCTCCTCCTCCGTCATCACCAGCCGGTCGGCGAACTCCTGCCGTATCACCTCGGCCAGGCTGCGGCGCTCGTCCACCAGCTTGTCCCTGGTCTGAATGGATGTTCGAGAGGAGAAGAGGTAACAGAATGGTGAGAAGAGGCCTTCAGAGGAAACATGGAAGAACATAAACCGCCTGCCCCTCACCTGAGTGACGTCCTCGGTCTCCTGTTCTTTCTGTCGGAGCACGGCCTGCAGTCTGATCCGCTCTCCCTCCGCCTCCATCTGCTGCCTCCTCAGCTCCTGTTGTTTCTCCACAGCCGCCCTCTCAGAGCGCTCCAGCTCCCTCAGCTCCGCCTCGTACTTATCCCTCACCCGCTTCACCCTGAGAACAGTGTTAACGGGACATCGGTGTCGGTCAGAAGCCGTTGGAGAGGAAGTGTGGGGGAAAAATAGAATTTGCAAAAAGTAAAAAGGATTCACATCATTCTGCAAGGATGCTAATCAATCTGTTCACATGACATCCCTTACACGTCTGTTCATCACGTTGCTCTCCACTGAGGTTCCTTCTGTTTTTCCCCATTAAAAGGTATTTTTTGGGGAGTTTTCCTTTATCTGATGTGACGGTCCACAGACAGAGGATGTTGTATGTACGCTGTACAGAATGTAAAGCCCTATGAGGCACATTTGTGATGCTGGGCTACACAAATAAATTGAATTGAACTAAAATCAAACAGTTATGGATGTCCACTACAGCAACAAACTCCCCAAAGTATATTTTAAGAACGCTCGTGTTTCTGACAACATCTTTCTTAGGAACTACATGAGTTCAATGGAACTGGTTGTGACGGTGCAGTCAACACACACACACACACACACACACACACACACACACACACACACACA